GTTAAACGAAAGTGTTATATGTAAAATATTTCTATAAAACTACTTAATATAATCTTTTTTAAATTTTAAAGATAAAAACCAAGTTATAGAAGTTATTATTGTTAAGAACATTAAGTTGTAAGTAATGTAATAAATCCTTAATTTTGATTCAAAATCTTGATTTAACAATTTATGCCATGGAAATAATGAGCTTAACATTGCTATAAGCAAACTTAATTTTACGAACGTGATTATCGTTTTTTTCATTGAGAGGGAAAAATTTTTTATAAAATTTATTTAAATTTTCATTTAAATGAAGGAACTATTATTTAATTTTAAAAATGTTGAATTAGGCTATAAAATAAACAGAAATAACAAAAGCATACTCGATAGAATTAAATCTAACATTGATTTTGGGAAAATAGATTTCATTTATTCAGAAAATGATGATTTTGTAATTAAATCAATAGTAAGTATGGATATGCATCTTCAGAAATACATTAACGATACAAGAATAAGCAATTTAGATATTAATAAGATGATAAATGTTTATACCAGTGTTAAAATGTTTGATGATTTAACACTATTTGAGAATTTATATCTTTTTGGATTTAATTGTAATATGACAGAATTAGTTAGAAATGGATTTATAGAATTAAATAGTAAATATGATAATGTCTTCTCAAAGAAGTGTATTTTTGATTACATGTATGCAACAATGAAACGTTTTAAATTTAGTAAATATAGAGATCTTTATTATTACGAATTACCCGAATTGATCAAAATTAAGCTTAAATTAATTATAAATAGTCTTAATAATGCACCAATATTAATATTTAATGATTCATTATTGAAATTTAATAATTCTGATTTATATTTGATACTTAAAATGTTTAAGAAATTAAATAAGTATGTTTTGATTGTTTTAAAGAAAAAAAGTAGACGTTTAAATAGTTTAGTTAAAAAGTTAGATACTGAGTGTGTTATTCAAGAAAAAGAGGATAAAATTAAATTTAATTTAACTGATGTAATGAGAGTTAATTCATCTTCTATACATGATGAGTTTAATATAATCAAATTCATATCTGATATCCAAATATACAGTCCTAGTAGACTTGAGTACAGCTATTATATAATATTTGATTTTTTAAGAAGATTTATTAGAATATTTATGTTCTCCAAGGGTATATTTATTGTTATTGTATTTTTCTTATTATCAAATTTGCCAAGATATCTACTTGTTATTAAAACTAAATTTACTTTAATTGCAACTGTAACGGCCTATAAAAATTTCTTTGATTTGTTAGGAATATTTATGAAACCAGAATTAACTGATTCTTACCATAATATTTGCATACCATTCCTATTTATGGATGAGGGATACTCATTTATTTATGTTTGTGTATTTATATTGTTAATGTGTATATTCATTATTAATTCTTGTTTATTACCTGTCATTATATATAATATCTTTTTTAAAAAATCATTTAATAGTATAATGATTATAGCTGATAATATACTTATTAATAGAATAAGTGGATTAACAAGCACATCTATACTACTAGTTATCATCTGTATTATAAGAATAGGTATTTATATCTACTTTGAATATCCTTTGTTTTCTTTAATATTTAACTTTCCTTTTTTGAAATTTAAATATTTTTTAATTTTATACTCTCTTATACTATCATCTCCTAACTACTTAATTTTTACTAACTTAACTAATATAATGTTTCATAATGTTAGGTATATCAATTACTACTTATTAGCTTTTAAGGCATTAAACATTCTCTTAATATTTGAATTTACTATTATTTATCATAAATTTAGATCTGATACTATTACAGATTATCAAAATCTTGGTGTGTTTCTACTTAAATTATTCTTTAAAACAATTTACTATAGACATGGAGAATGTTTCTATCCTATGAACATGACTAACATTTATCAATATATGTTTTATTATCTTGCTACATCCGTAACATTAGAATTTTCATTTCTTTTACTGTTTTTACATTATTTGAATAAAATTTAAATAATTTTTTATACTTTTTATTTAATTTCCAAATTAAAATTAGTAAAGTTAAAAGTTGATGTTAAAGGTATAGCATAACTAAATGATAATGAATTATTTAACAATACCCCAATACCAACAGACTTACCAATACATACACTATTATTATCAAATAATCTTTTAAAATTACTAATCATAGATTGCCTTGTATTAATTCCGAAATCAGCAAATCCAAATAACTCATGATTGAGGATTCTAATACCAGCCTTATTGTTTAAAGTAACATAAGAAGTACCACCTAATTTTACATTGTTAACTTTAGGTGTAATACCATCTCTTAAGTATCCCTTGATATTGTTAATAAAGAACATATCAGTAATACTTGAAGTATTTAAAAATATTTGACCAAGTGATACTTTCATATTAAAGAAAAACATACTCAAATCAATATTAAACAACTTATTAACTTCTAATCTAACAAGCATGTTATTTAATACATCATTTAATTTATCACACTTCTTTAGAGTATTTTTATTGTTTTCCATTGATTCATCTTTGATAGATTCATCTATAACATTAATAACGTCATCAGAAATATACTTTATAGTTGTATTAAAATTAATACCCAACAAGTCATAAAACACTCTCATATAATAATTATATTTGTTATTAATTAATTCAGAACCAATACCTAAGTACTTATTAATGTTAAATAATGAATTAATCCCTATTTCATTCTGTACTATTTCATAACAATCATTATTTATTTGTCTATTAAATTTATTAGATGATCCATTTAAATAAACAATATCATCAGATGTAATAATTGGTTTAGTGATCTTTATGTTATAAAAACTATCTTTAATTATCTTTTTAAGTGTATTTAAATTATCTTTACTTAACAGCGTATCTATTTTAGATAAATCAATTTGTTTAAGATTTGAGTTTATCTCAAAATCTAAATTAACTATTTCATTTGTTCTAAAAAGATTAAATAAGTTTAAATTAAGACTAGTTTCTCTATCATGATTAATTTTAATGCTACTTCTCTTTTCTTCTAAATAAACACAATTATCTTCATAATCTATAGAGTTAAATAGTTTAGTATTTGATAAATTAGTAATAAGTGAATTAATATCTTGTGAATATGTTTTAATCTTTTCTAAAAATCTTGATGTGGTTTTATTGTTTCCAATAAATTTTACAGTGGGCTTTGATGATTTAAAGAGAAACATTAATTAATTTAGGGTCTTTTAAATAATTTTTAAAAATTTTTATTAAAAAATTTTAATTTTAAATGGTTAAAGAGAATTATTACAGTTTTGGTAAAACTAAATATCTTAACAATTTGAACTCTGGTAAAGCTAAAAAGAACTCAAGGGGAGAAATTATTAAAGAAGCATCTTTTCAATCTACGAAAAAGTCTATTGGAAGAATTGAACCAAGTAGACATTGGTTTAATCCTACTAAAGTTATTGATCATAATGAATTAGATAAATATAGAAATTCAGTTAGAATTAACTCTCCTTATGAAGTGTTATTAAAGAGTGGTAATGTACCCGGATCACTGGTTAATAATGTAGTTAAAAAGAAGAAACATGACTTTATATTTGATACTGATTTTAACAGTAAGAGAATAAAAATAGCTTATAATTCATTAGAAGATATAAAAAAGTATAATTCTGAAAAAATAGAAAAAATAGATTCAGTAACTCAAAATACCAATTTTATTATGACAAGAAGCAGTAGTAAAGCTACATGGACTGAACTCTATAAGGTATTAGATTCTTCAGATGTGGTAGTTCATGTATTAGATGCTAGAAATCCTAAAATTTGCTCTCATATTGAAAATTACTTAGAAAAACACAATCATAAGTATTTGATATACGTTTTAAATAAAGTTGATCTTGTTCCTAAAGAAGTAACTACACAATGGATTAATAAGTTAAATCAAAAACATCCTGTAGTAGCTTATCATGCTCTTAGTAGAGATAATTATAAAAGTAACAAATTGAATTTTGGTAAAGAAAATCTCACTAGAATTTTAAGACAATTAAAAAGACTTTATTTAACTAACAATAAAAACAAACATTGTATATCAGTTGGATTTGTTGGGTATCCAAATACCGGTAAATCATCAATTATAAATTCACTGAGGGGTAAAGATGTTTGTAAAGTTGCTCCCATTCCCGGTGAGACAAGAGTATGGCAATACATTACTTTATTTAAAGATTTGTATTTAATTGATTCACCAGGTGTTATTCCAATCACTAATAGTGGTAAATTTACAGTTGATGATCTTTTAAATGGTGGTCTTAGAATTGAGAGTATGAATAACTGTGAAATGTATGTTTGGGATGTAGTTGAGAGAGTTGGTAAGGAAAAAATTATAAAGTTTTATGATTTAAAGATTGAGTTTGATAGTTTAAAGGGTCTTCTTAGGTCTGTTGGTAAGAGAATGGGATTTATAAGAAAAGGAGGTATTATTGATGAAGATTTAGTTGCAAAGAGAATTCTTACTGATTTTGTTAGAGGGAAATTGCCTTATTATGTTAAAGTTTAAGTAAATTTTTTATTTTATATTCTTAATAAAATCTATTTTTATTTATTATTTTTTTGAATTTTAAGCCCGGGTAGCTCAGTGGTTAGAGCGTGGTACTTATAAGTTAAGTTTATGATAAATTGGCTAGGTTATGCCAAGGCCGCGGGTTCGAGTCCCGCTTCGGGTATTTTATAATTAAAAAAGTTTTTATTTTATAATTTATCATTTTTATTAAAAATTCTAATGTATGCTCATTCAACTTAATAAATATTAAAAGTTAATTTGTTTTTTTAATAAAAAATACCATTTTTTATTTAATCGGCACTACCCTTAATAAAATTGTTACTTAAAGGTATATTTAGATTTAAAATGAGTAATTTTGAAAAATTATATAAAAATTTTACCCATCAAAATTAATAAAGTGATTAATAATAAAAGAGATTTTTAAACAGACAATATAAAAAACATAGAAGTTTAATAAATGAACAGTGAAGACTAACAGAAAATTCTATATGCAATAGTTATACCATTAAAAATATAATTCAGTCATGATTTAAATACAAAAACATAAGACTAACATGATACTACTTTTTTTTAATTTTTTACTAAAAATTGGTTAAACGTTTGAGATACTTTGAAAATAATCTAGTTGATGATAAATGTAATGTGTATTAACTCTTTATTAGTTAGCTATTAAATTCATAAAATAGTTTTCATTATTTGTTAAAAAATTGATAGTTTTAATAAAAAATTTCTTAAATACAAACTAATAAACACAATATTTATAATGAATTTAGTATATACATACACTATTTATAATTTGTAATATTTGTGGTTTTAAACTTTAAAAATACTATTTGTAAAAAAAAATAAGGATACTTATAAGAATGAGAAATAATACATGTTCTAATAAATTACAGATAGTTGATCAATAACATTAAAACAAACCAAAATAGGTGAATTTAATTGGTTAAAATATATATTATTTTCTCATCATTTTAATAATAAAACATTATTTTAGAGAGTAATTAAATTTACTTGAAAATAAAAATAGTATGTGTATACGAACATCTTTAATTCTTTTAAAAACGTTTTTAATAATAAATTAAAAAGTAATCTAAATATATTACTGTATGAATCATACTTAAAAAACTATTTCAAATAAGACAGTTTAAATAGTATATTTTAAAGAATTTTTGATTACTCAGTGTATATACTTATAAAAATTTATCAAACATTTTTTACAGTAATTATATTTGATCTATTAAAGAGGAATGTAATTTATTGATCAATATTCCATGGTAGTTCATTTATTAAATTAAAAAAATTAAGTAAAAGTATTGGTTTTTCACGCTTAAAATAACCATCTTTTTTTGAAATTAAATCTGTTTTACATGAAGAATAAATATACCAGAGATATATATAAGTTATTGATTTAAGAATTTTTTTCTTTTTCTTTTTATCAAGTCTATTATCAAATGTTTTTGAAATTTTTATAACATATTGAAACATTTCAGAATGTTTTATTTTTTCTAATGAAAATCTTTTATCTTTTAAATGACTATCTTTTAAATGAATGTTTATACTATTAATAATGTTTTTATATTTTTTATTTTTCTTATCATCAGTAAAAGAATTAAAACGAGAAAGAAAATTTTTGTTAATTAAATCAATAAATTCTTCTTTTGTACTTTGTAAATTTTCAATGTCATCATTGTTTATTATATTAACCACCTCTTTTAATTTTAAAAAATATAAATAAAACTCAATATACACGTTTAAGAAATCTATGAGTATATTAATGATTTTAATGTTTTTTCTTGTAAATTCATTATAATGTTGATATGTATAAACATGAACAAATCTTAATAAGAAACATTCAAAAAAATTCAATTTGTTAGACTTACTTTGAATTGTGTTTAAATCTAAATTAGCAATTTCTACTAATTTAGATTCATTAAATTTTTTTGTTTTTAAGATTTTGTAAAATTC